ACAAGCACAACATTTGATCTTAGTTGCAACTCTCTCTATATGACATTTAAAAAAAATGCTCATACGCCGTGCAGCATAGATTACAGATCATCGCTTTCGTCGCTGTAGTTGTCTTAAAAGCCTTAAGGTTCGAATCCCAATATATCCCCCCCCCCCCCAACCACCAAGAAATTTTAAATGTGCCAGGCTATTTATTAGCGAGTATTTCGTTGCCCTGTGTTCACTATGTCATATGCCGAATTTGTGACTGGTAATTTATGTTTTAATGATAAATCAGGGAACCTGAATATATATTGAAAGACAAAACATGGCAAAATAAAGGTTGACGAAAACTTTACCCACTGGTCCAAAACTTTTCGAAAATAGTAACTAAGCTATTAGAAACTTTTAAAACGTTCGTGAAGACGGTGGAGTTAGAGGGAAAAAAGTTTTGAATATAAATCCAAAAAAATCCAGTCAAAGGCGCTTAAGTGGGCATCGTAAAAGGAAAAAGATATTAATGCAAAAAAGTAACACAATTGTTTAAATATATGAGTAATATCCTTTTAAAAAAATGAATTGGCGTGATCTTGTAGTAAAGGGTAGATTGCTAACACGAAATTCTCGAGTTCGAGTTCCATAAGAGCAGTTTTTTTATGTTTTTATTCTTAACAATATATGTATTTCACAGCAAAATACATTAATTTTACGATAAACCGAATTTCTATTGACATTGTACGGTTATATAGGAAATCAAAATTTCAAACGACAATACAAACTTGTGAATGATGCTTTTTCCGATACATATCTCAGGCATACTGTAATTCCATTAACAACGGACACCTCGCTGATTTGATCACACAAGAGGAGAGATTATTAAGTCAATCGCTGTACTTAAGGTTCTCAAAAAGTCGTAAGATATTTTTAAAATATTCTCATTTAGTCAAAAAGTACACACACATATATATATATATATATATATATATATATATATATATATATATATATATATATATATATATATATATATATATATATATATATATATATATATAAATATATATAGATATATATATACATACGCTACCACGCATACTCATATATGTATATGCGTATAGTTACGTGTTTGCAATACATACATAAAATATATATATTTACACACACACACATATATATATATCGAGAAAGAGAAAGTATGTGTATGGAGAAAGAGAGTTAAATTTTATATAATCCATACATTAATGCTTGTGCTCAATACTACGACTGAGTTGCGTCAATTCTGAATGTGTTTGTTATGCGCATGCGCTAGTGTATGTGTATGTGCGTGTGCGTGTACGTAAATACTTATTTTATATCCAACCTTTTGTTTTGTGTAGTGTGGATAGGTCTTAACGATGTCGAGGTAGAGGGAAGGTTTGTATGGAGCAGTGGAGCAGTAGCATCCACTATTGACTTACCATGGAATGCCGGTCAACCAAATAATTATTTGAACCAGGACTGCGTGCTTATGTATAAACAGGCATCTCTCAATGATTACTACTGTAGTAATCTTAACTTCTTTATATGCCAATCACGTAAGTGTAGAAGCAAAAATATGTAAATCAGCTTAGGTTGTATATTTTTTCTAGGTGGTACCAAAAATGTTGCTTCTCCCTCAAACATGAATAGAAATTCAAATAACGAAGTCGGCTGGGAAATCACAAAGTTGCATTCCCATAAAGTCTAGAGTTTTAACCCCAGGCAGATTAGGCGTGTTTAATGTTGTCCAGTCTTTTTTTTTTGAGTACACCAGGTATGTTGGTTTAGGAGTTACCTCATAGATTGGCGCAATCTGGATTTTCTTAGCTTGCTATTCAGGCTTTGTACCAATATTTCTAATGGGCGTCTTTACAATCTTCTATTAGACTTAAAAGAGTTGCGGTGGGGGGGGGGGGGGGGTGACACCATTTAGTGGGTTGACACCAAGACAAAAATAGCAATATTTATATAGAAAAAAAAGTTAAATAAGTGATTTATAGGAGTTAAAAAGTATTTTAATTAAGAGCTAAATTGGAAAATCCCAACAAGGTACGAGGGGAGGGTTAAACATGACGTAAAACTGATAACGATGTAGAAAACAATACTACACCTAGCTGTATATATAACCGACTATAGATGAACATCGTTAGCAATTTGTGTGGTCAGTTTAAGGCTATCCCCGCGGTGACACGTCAAGCAAAGCCTGGGATTACCAAATGTAATAATTGTATACAAATACAATGATTTTTCGTTTGAATAGATAAATGATAGAGTTTAGCCCCTAAATGCTTATTCTAGATGGATTAAAATAATGTGTGCACAAATTGACGACTTTCGTCACCAAAATACAAAGCCTACCGAAATGAATTGGGGCCACACAATAATGGAAATTTTCAAATCTACATATCATTCGATTAAGTAAATTATTATACAACAGCTTACAATGTGTGCGTGCTAGTGTGTGTGTAAGTGTGTGTGTGTAAGTGTGTGTGTAAGTGTGTGTAAGTGTGTGTAAGTGTGTGTAAGTGTGTGTGTAAGTGTGTGTGTAAGTGTGTGTGTAAGTGTGTGTGTAAGTGTGTGTGTAAGTGTGTGTGTGTGTAAGTGTGTGTGTAATTGTGTGTGTAAGTGTGTGTGTGTAAGTGTGTGTGTGTGTGTTAGTGTGTGTGTAAGTGTGTGTGTGTAAGTGTGTGTGTAAGTGTGTGTGTAATTGTGTGTGTAAGTGTGTGTTTGTAAGTGTGTGTTTTGTGTGTGTAGGAAGGTGACTGACACCAGTAGAATAATAGTTATACATTTGATTGTGCTGAAGTAGTTGATTTATTATCTATGATATGTGATATGTTTAATGGTTTTTTTTTCTATTCCTATTAAAAGTCTGATGTGTGGCTAAAACCAATGTATTAATCCATTGTAAATAAATTGAATTATAAATTTATGGGAGACGAAAATCAATAATGAAAACCATTAGCAATCAATAACCAATCAACAGAATAAAGAAAACTGGTTGGTTTGATAAAATTGCCACATGTTGGCTCTTTTCGTCGGCATAAAGTTTTATAACAATAATTCAGGCCTTTAATCATTTTGATCATAACATGATGTGTATTTTGGATTAAAATATTTGAAATTATAATAATTTGTTTACAAATTTAGAATACCCAAAGGAGGTAAATATCTTTTATCGGATTCAAACGTAAAAACATATTTGGTCGCTACGTTACTCGCTTCCTATAGCAAACAGAAAAAATGGAAGATCAGCCCGAATTGAATAGCTTTAAAAAGATATTTAAAAAAAGATATTAAAATACATATTATACATGTGTATACACAGACTTACATATGCATGCGGCATATATATATAGCCAATAAATAGTTTTCTTTCGGGAGGAGGGGAAGGTAGGGAGAGTTACATATTTTTCGGTTGGTGGGCGACATTGGTAAGAATATTTATTTTGTATATCAATTCCATTTCGTTTTTAGGAGGGCGGTAGATTTATAGTTTGTGTTAGTAAAGTTTGATAACGTTTAGAAATTTGCGCATTTTGCTGCTGCGTCGTTTTCCGATTGCTTTTTCTTAGAACAGTTTTGTCAAAGTTATTATAGTATGTCTCGTTTAAATACATGATAATGCATGGTGAGCGTTTCAAAAATCTCTAACATCAAAGCTTCATTATCATTTTTAATTTTTTCGTATTCGAAGAATAGTGGTAGTATTGCAATCGTGTAAAAAAAATTCGAAATCGGGATTTTCATAAATCTCTACGTTTCACCCCTCACTTAGTCGGAAAACTTAGTTGTGCAATTTTGCTCTCATGTCTGTTTGTGTCTGTGTGTGTCTGTCTGCACGATAACATGAGTACCGGTTCAGTTATGTTGAAGAAATTTCATGTATATATATTATATTTAATATGTTGTTTCGTAATAACCTTTGAAATATTTCTGGTAACCGGGGGTGGTACTTACTCAACAAAGCAAATAACTTCAGTACTGTTTCAGATAGACAAGATTTCACATCTACGATCTAAGTATCTGTTTTATGCTAAATTTTGAGTAATTCCCGGTGATACTTTACGCTTTTAAAAAATCTCTCAAAAATGCATATGGTTTTTTAAAGTAGGCCTGCTAATGTTACGCCTTAAATACTCCCATTATTTGCTCTTCATTTGGTGCGCAATTCTTTATTATATGTAACCCTCACTCAGTGGGGATGCTTTTACCCACTGAGGTGTTGTGGTTAAGACGGGCTGACCCTGAGATTAAGTACACACCGACGCCGACAGTTGTTGTCAAGTACTCGTTTATTTATAGCATCGAGCCATGACGGCGATGCAACACAAAACGAACTAGCCAAGATAGACCAAAAGATCCAAACAATCCAAAAGACCAAAAGATCAAAAGATCAAAAGATCAAAATAGAAACAGAAAAACTGTAGCCCTAAAACAAATGTAAAATAAAAAAGTTACATTCAGGACAACACCACGTGTAAGCTACAATATACACGGGTACAATAAATTATGTTTTCGGCCAGTACACAGTACTGCCAACAAGTACCAATAAGTAGTACTACAAAATAAATACTTAATTTAATACATCACCCTAACTAGTGTGCACATGCAGCACTAGCAGGAATACATAAGTAAGTACTTTAACAAACATAATTTAAATATCTACACTACCTTCATTAGGTCTACATCTTGGTCCACAGACAGCAGCCTTGCGTGTGCGACACGACTAGGCACATGTCACATGACATGGAACACAGGTAATTTCGCTCACAAAAGCATAAAAAAAACGTCAACAGTTCAGTTGCAGTCCCACAGGGGCCGCAACCCAATGAATAAAAAACTTCATAGTTTTATCCCCCTTTTTGGCTGGTAACCATATGTGTTACACAGCCCCCCTCACAAATAAATGTACAATGGAATTTACATTTACATTTACACTCATACATAATAGTACTTAAAAAAAAAAGTTCAGTACACTAGTACACAGACATTAAGTCCTTTCAACTTAAATAGATTATTCCCGGCAAACCGGTAGAGGCTCCAGTGCTGGTACTGGTCACCACTTGATGCGCCAGGTTGAGTCGCTCGACGGGTCGTCGTTGACGGGTTGACCTCCGCAGCTCCACTGGTGGTTCTGGGTTGATCCAAGAGTCATCCTCGTCCGATGCCTCGTCCCTCGCATTCACCTCATCCAGATGTGGGGCTGGCCTGACCATCTCCTTTTCTTGTCCGTCCTGGGCGACCACCTCGGGCACGAAAGGCGTTGCCTCCGGCCGAAGTCTAGTTGGGACCACTACCTTGATTGTCAGTTCCTCACCTTCATCTGCCTCACTGGTTGGGACGATCTCTCTCCGTCGCTCCCCCTCCGCCACAGTGGGTTCAGCACTCGACCTTGTATAGTCGGGTCGCTGCCAACCACGGCGGCGTCCACCACGTCGTCGGCCTCTCCTCCGGCGGCGTCTCCGACCTCTGCTTGTGTCATGTCTGTCTCCCAAGCGATGATCTTGCTCGCGCTGAGACTGACATTCATAGTGTGGCTGTCTACCCTTCTCACGCGCACCCTCCGGCTGCAACCCTCGTCCACGGCGGAACACCCGACAGCCGTACCTCCAGCCGTTAGGCGAGGTAACCTGAACTGTGGTTGCTCGACACTGTGCTGATCTCGGTGGCGTAAACTTGGGCTGGGAGCTTGGCAGAACACGCATCAGCATCCGCTCCCCGACGCTGATAGACTGGCGTTTCCCCTGCTGCTGACCCCGTTGCCTAGCTGCTTTTCTCGGACAGTCGCGGACGAAGTGCTTCGTGGACCCGCACCCGTAACAAGCTCCTCTGGAGGGCTGTTGTTTCCGGGCTAGGATATCTGCCACCTTCTCCGCCAGACGGTCGAGTTGTTCCTCCGTGAGCATCAGCGGCGTAGTCTCCTGGCGACCAGCTACCGTTACTGCGTCGACCTTCTGCGCCAGACGGTCGAGTTGCTCCTCCGTGAGCATCAGCGGCGGCGTCGTCTCTTGGTGAACAGCTGCCGTTACTGCGTCGACCTGGATAGTCCTGTTAGCTGCTGCCGTGGCTACGACTGGGGACTCAGCTGTCCCGTCCAGCCTTTTAACAGCTTTCAGAACGTCCTCCACCTTCGGACTGGCTTCCCCTGCGAAACCAAATGTGCCGCGAAGTTCGAGCGCCAGAAGAGGTGAAACCCCCTTGCAGAAAGTGTGATACACCTTCTTCTGGGCATCGGCCTCAGTAAAGATACGCTGCTGGTTTAGCTTCGTCATCTCTGACCACAGTCGGCAGAGAAATTCCGACGCTGACTCCCTTGGATGTGGAGTGAGTCGGCTGAACTGCAGATACCTGTCTTCGGCACATCTGGTGTCGCCAAAAGTGCTTTGTAGGAGGCATAGCACTTCCTCTGGACTCGCAGCTTGCTTCACCCGCTCATAGGCAATCCCTCTCAGGCTGCCTAAAACGGGTGGCAACGGGTTCGGAACGCTGGTGTTCCGCAGCAAACACTGTACTTGAGTTTCCCATTCCGGGAAATTCACCTCCCCTCCTCCAGTGGGTGGAAGGCCGGTGAACACACTCAGCTTGCTGTTGTGTGCTGGAGCACACACCTCCACCTTCACGGGCCGCTGCGCATCTGCCTGCATCGCCGCCATCTTAGCCGTCAACTTGGCCAGCTCCTCCGTCAACTTCTCCAACGTCGGGTCGCTGTGTTCCATCCTACCTCCCAAGGTCAAGCCCCACGTTGGGCGCCAAATGTAACCCTCACTCAGTGGGGATGCTTTTACCCACTGAGGTGTTGTGGTTAAGACGGGCTGACCCTGAGATTAAGTACACACCGACGCCGACAGTTGTTGTCAAGTACTCGTTTATTTATAGCATCGAGCCATGACGGCGATGCAACACAAAACGAACTAGCCAAGATAGACCAAAAGATCCAAACAATCCAAAAGACCAAAAGATCAAAAGATCAAAAGATCAAAATAGAAACAGAAAAACTGTAGCCCTAAAACAAATGTAAAATAAAAAAGTTACATTCAGGACAACACCACGTGTAAGCTACAATATACACGGGTACAATAAATTATGTTTTCGGCCAGTACACAGTACTGCCAACAAGTACCAATAAGTAGTACTACAAAATAAATACTTAATTTAATACATCACCCTAACTAGTGTGCACATGCAGCACTAGCAGGAATACATAAGTAAGTACTTTAACAAACATAATTTAAATATCTACACTACCTTCATTAGGTCTACATCTTGGTCCACAGACAGCAGCCTTGCGTGTGCGACACGACTAGGCACATGTCACATGACATGGAACACAGGTAATTTCGCTCACAAAAGCATAAAAAAAACGTCAACAGTTCAGTTGCAGTCCCACAGGGGCCGCAACCCAATGAATAAAAACTTCATAGTTTTATCCCCCTTTTGGCTGGTAACCATATGTGTTACATATATTTTTAAACGTTTTAATATTTTAAAATTAATTAAGAGGTCGGCGTGGTCGAGTCGGTAAAGCTCATTGTTGCTAAACCAAAAAGTTTCGCGTTCGAACCCTCGGGCAGATGAGGCTCGTTAGCTGGGGACAGCAACTCTTCTAGGAGACAACCTCCAAAATTAAACAACTGCTGCCTTATAGTTTGTTCTTGGTTGAACAAAGGCTATGGAAGCAAATCCAAAAAGAAAAGCAGGCTGAAATCGGAGTCAATGGCCTCAATGGCGCATAACCAGTTGACACGTATCCTTAATTGTGATGGTGGAGTAAGCAAAAAGCTCATGGTTGATAAATTCGAAAAGTCTCGAGTTCAAATCCTCTGGCAGATAAGGCTCGATCCCTTTCAACACTAAAAATTAAGAACGAAGAAGAAGAAGAAAAATTAATTAGAAACCATGTCTGTACCTCGAATTGCCATATCTAGTAGTGTCATATGAGAACATTCGTTAAAGTTTAGGGGAGACTACTCACAGTTTGTTACAGTAAGTTAATGACAGCGTGCCGTTTTTTAAGTAGCTAGCGCATTAACGAACCTGGGTTATAACCACTAGTGACGTAGGGTAAATTTATGTACGTTAAGTACATTTAAGGTACTAAGTTTAAGAAAAATCAAAGTATCCTAAATTGTTATTATCTGCCTTGTAATCGGCCATATCAACGACGTGGGACATGTTTATGATGTGGAGATATGCTTAACCTTATATTATTTTTGGCCCAGTTGCAGCATTATACTCCGTGAATTAGATGAAAGAACTCACATCATTATGATATGCTTGCAGCTGTATGTTACCCACTGCAAGATGCTGTCTATGAGTATGGGAAATGTTGGCTATTGAGTGGAAGTAAAGCTACCTGGTATCAAGCTAAGGTAAAAAAACAAACAGCTCACTACTGATATTTTTGGGGTCGCCCAGAAATGAAGCCGCACTCCTAGGGTTAGGGTGGTATCGTAATTTTATGACGATATATAATGAAGAGCAAAGGGTGTTTAAAATAATGTAACGTCACTTTTTTGCAGAAACTAAAATATATGCCTACTCATTTATTTTCCGTTTAAGAAATATGTTTTAGTAAACTGTAATATGAATTGATAAATATACGAAATGTAGGATGAGGTGTGATTTCATTTTATGGGCAGGGGGAGGGGGGGGGGCTCTAGCTTTTTATGACGATGTCTTGAACAAGTGAAGGGGAAGTAAATTTCGCAAAAAAAAAAAAAAAAACTTAACGTCATTATTAAATGAAAAATAATTAAGTGTTTACCCAATATTTTTACATTTTAATAGTTTTTTAATTTGTGCATATATGATCAATTGCTTATTGCTGACGATAGAGCTTATTGTAACAATTAATTATCGCCAGACGTCTTGCATGGCTGCATCCCCTGGTTCCACATTAGCACAGGTTCCAGAGTTTGACGAATCAGACATATCAGCACTCTCTACAACAGCACCCAACACGCCAAAAAATACTAGTTAGTACAAATTATGTGAATAGTTAAATGTACTTTCGTTTAATGTTATCTTTAGGGTTATTTTTTTTTATTTGCGGTGAGGTATCTATAATAATAGTTTCGCTGTCTGTCAAGAACGCTCTGTCTGACAAGAACGCTCTGTCTGACAAGAACGCTCTAGAGAAAACACAAGCAAAATAAAAACATGCACAGTAATTCGAAAAACGAAATATGACGTCGACACATTTAGCGTAGAGTAGAACATAATCTCAAACCAGAGAGTGCACACAGTCATATGACGTCATTGATTCTACATTGAAAAAAAGGAAATGTTGTCTAATCTAAATGGTTTGCGTGAAGATTTTCTTGCATACAATTCTTCGGGTAGGGGCGAAGCCCCACCCCCCGCGTAAGAACGTCTGAGCCCCCCCCCCCCCCCCCCCCCCCTCCCCAACTCAAAAGAAATTTCCTCATCGATACTCTATAATAAAATTACCGCCTAATTAATGTGTCTAATCTAAAAAGTGGTTTTCTTGCAATGGGACGGTAGACATGTTTTTTGGGGGGGGGGGGGGGGGGGGGGTGGAGGGGTGGGGGGGGGGTGTGTGGGGGTGGGGGGGGGTGGTGTGTGGGGGGGGTGGGTTGGTTTCAGTGTTTCTTTCAGACTTTTTCCTCCCCGGAGAGGGGTGGGGGTACTTGAAATTTTCGGGGGCGGGGGTAGAATTTTCTGGGAGGGGGCGGACACTGGAAAAAGTATATAATTATATTTCGTTGAATGGGACGGTAGACATGCTTTTTTGGGGGGTGGGGGTGGTGGAGGGGTGGGGAGGGGTGGTGTGGGGTGGGGTGGGGGTGGTGTGGGGGGGGTGGGGGTGGTGTGTGGGGGGGGGGTGGTGTGTGGGGGGGGTGGGTTGGTTTCAGTGTTTCTTTCAGACTTTTTCCTCCCCGGAGAGGGGTGGGGGTACTTGAAATTTTCGGGGGCGGGGGTAGAATTTTCTGGGAGGGGGCGGACACTGGAAAAAGTATATAATTATATTTCGTTGAATTGGACGGTAGCCATGTTTTTTTTTTGGGGGGGGTGGGGGGTGGGGGGCGGTGTGTGGAGGGGGTGGTGTGTGGGGGTGAGGGGTGGGGGTGGGGGTGGTGTGTGGTGTGTGGTGGGGGTGGGGGTGGTGTGGGGGGGTGGGGGGTAGGGTGGGGGTGGTGTGTGGGGGGGTGGGTTGGTTTTAGTTTAGAGAAAAGAGACAGCACTATCAGCCTAGCGCCCGTTGTACCCTTCCTCAACGGGCCATTTTTCTCGTTAATACTAATAGTTTCGCTGTCTGTCAAGAACGCTCTGTCTGACAAGAACGCTCTGTCTGACAAGAACGCTCTAGAGAAAACACAAGCAAAATAAAAACATGCACAGTAATTCGAAAAACGAAATATGACGTCGACACATTTAGCGTAGAGTAGAACATAATCTCAAACCCAGAGAGTGCTCACAGTTATATGACGTCATTGATTTTCGCGTTAACATTGAATAAAAAGGAAATGTTGTCTAATCTAAATGGTTTGCGTGAAGAGTTTCTTGCATACAATTCTTCGGGTAGGGGCGAAGCCCCACCCCCCGCGTAAGAACGTCTGAGCCCCCCCCCCCCCCTCCCCAACTCAAAAGAAATTTCCACATCGATACTCTATAATAAAATTACCGCCTAATTAATGTGTCTAATCTAAAAAGTGGTTTCTTGCAATGGGACGGTAGACATGTTTTTTTTTGGGGGGGGGGGGGGGGGGGGGTGGGGGGTGGGGGGGGGGGGGGGTGGGGGTGGGGGGGGGTCTGTGGGGGGGGGGGGTTGGTTTCAGTGTTTCTTTCAGACTTTTTCCTCCCCGGAGAGGGGTGGGGGTACTTGAAATTTTCGGGGGCGGGGGTAGAATTTTCTGGGAGGGGGCGGACACTGGAAAAAGTTTATAATTATATTTCGTTGAATGGGACGGTAGACATGTTTTTTTTGGGGGTGGGGGGTGGTGGAGGGGTGGGGAGGGGTGGTGTGGGGGGGTGGGGGTGGGGGGTGGGGGGTGGTGTGTGGGGGGGGGGTGGGTTGGTTTCGGTGTTTCTTTCAGACTTTTTCCTCCCCGGAGAGGGGTGGGGGTACTTGAAATTTTCGGGGGCGGGGGTAGAATTTTCTGGGAGGGGGCGGACACTGGAAAAAGTATATAATTATATTTCGTTGAATGGGACGGTAGACATGTTTTTTTTGGGGGGAGTGGGGGGTGGGGGGGCGGTGTGTGGAGGGGGTGGTGTGTGGGGGTGAGGGGTGGGGGTGGTGTGTGGTGGGGGGTGGGGGTGGTGTGTGGGGGTGGGGTGGGGGTGGTGTGTGGGGGGGTGGGTTGGTTTTAGTTTAGAGAAAAGAGACAGCACTATCAGCCTAGCGCCCGTTGTACCCTTCCTCAACGGGCCATTTTTCTCGTCTATAATAATAGTTTCGCTGTCTGTCTATCTGACAAGAACGCTCTGTCTGACAAGAACGCTCTAGAGAAAACACAAGCAATTTAAAAACATGCACAGTAATTCGAAAAACGAAATATGACGTCGACACATTTAGCGTAGAGTAGAACATAATCTCAAACCAGAGAGTGCACACAGTAATGTAATGACGTCATTGATTATCGCGTAAACATTGAAAAAAAGGAAATGTCTAATCTAAATGGTTTGCGTGAAGAGTTTCTTGCATACAATTCTTCGGGTAGGGGCGAAGCCCCACCCCCCGCGTAAGAACGTCTGAGCCCCCCCCCCCCCCTCCCCAACTCAAAAGAAATTTCCTCATCGATACTCTATAATAAAATTACCGCCTAATTAATGTGTCTAATCTAAAAAGTGGTTTTCTTGCAATGGGACGGTAGACATGTTTTTTTTGGGGGGGGGGGGGGGGGTGGTGGAGGGGTGGGGGGTGGGGGGTGGGTTGGTTTCAGTGTTTCTTTCAGACTTTTTCCTCCCCGGAGAGGGGTGGGGGGTACTTGAAATTTTCGGGGGCGGGGGTAGAATTTTCTGGGAGGGGGCGGACACTGGAAAAAGTATATAATTATATTTCGTTGAATGGGACGGTAGACATGTTTTTTTTTGGGGGGGTGGGGGGTGGGGGGGCGGTGTGTGGAGGGGGTGGTGTGTGGGGGTGAGGGGTGGGGGTGGGGGTAATGTGTGGTGGGGGGTGGGGGTGGTGTGTGGGGGTGGGGGGGTGGGGTGGGGGTGGTGTGTGGCGGGGTGGGTTGGTTTTAGTTTAGAGAAAAGAGACAGCACTATCAGCCTAGCGCCCGTTGTACCCTTCTTCAACGGGCCATTTTTCTCGTGTTAAATAAGTAGCCTACATTTTAGGTTAGCTGTAGTAAATAGTTTATTTTACTTGATTGCAAAGATATATTATTTGAACTGTTTTTTTGACAAATCATGTGAATTAAAGTGTGGGTCAACGGTCAAGACATGAAACAAGACGGCAATTTTGTGTGGTTGGACAACACAAA